GGCCACCTGAACTTGTTTCTACCATGTTTTTGTCCATCCTGCTACAGCAACCTCACTGTTTACTCTGTCCCTTTCTCTACCTAGGGACTCTCTTGGCCAAGATCACCCGAGGCCACCCCCTCAGGCTGGCAGAAGCCATTCTTCTCTCTCTCACTCTCTCCAAGGGCAGCCTGGCATTGGAGCCAAAACTTGGACAAAATGGCCAGAGAAGAAGATGCTTCCATTCCAACATCAGGGTCAATCACCCAGGGATAAAACCATTATACACAATACTGTATTACTCAGACCATTTTCATGCTGGACATGCCATAGGCACACTATGGTTTTAGGAGTAGAATTTCTATCTGCCCTAGAAAAACTCTCACATCTGTGCCAAAAAAATATGTATATAATGAGTTTTATTTTTTTGTAATTGTCTCATGCAATTATGGAGGCTGGTGAGTCCTAATTTTCAGGGTGGGCTAGCAGGCTAGACACCAGGGAAGAGCCAATGTTGCAGTTCAGATCTGAAAGCTGTCTGCTGGCAAAGTACCCTCTTGCTGAGAGGAGAACACTCTTTTGCTCCATTTAGACTTTCAACTGATTGGGTGAGGCCCACCCACATCACAGAGAGCAATCTGCTTTTTTCCAAGTCCATCCATTTAAATGTTAATCTCATCCAAAAACACCCTCACAGAAACATCCAGAATAATGTTTTCCCATATACCCAGACACTGTGGCCCAGCCAAGCTGACACATGAAAGGAACCATCACATCACGCCCCTCTTATTGGGCAGGATTTGAACTTCAAACTGTCTCTCAACGGCAGGGCAACTGCTGAAATCTCTGCTCAGCTCCTTTTAGCCTTCTCACGGTTGTTTCCCATTGAGCCCCTTCGAATTTCACTGTGTGCATGCCCAGTTCAGAAGTTAGTCAAGGATTTAGGGGAATTCTAAAGCAGATTTTTGGTCTACCCCGCTTACTGCTTTCTTTCTAGAATTGCTCCCCAAAACTCCTAGCCCCTATGACTTCTGTGAGCCCCACTCTCTGTCTTCTATGCCCAGTAAGAGAGCCACTTTCTACTTACACTCTATTGATTGCCCTGTGTGCAATGTAAACTAGATGTGTCCTCAGGGGTAGAGCCAAATAAATGTGAGCTCACTGACTTCTCTTCTTTAAGAGTCAATTTCCCTCTGGCTTATGCCTGCTTTGAGTGGCTCATCCGTACTTCAAATGGTTGGCTTACTGTATTTTGTACTAAATTTATCATTGTTACTGGCAGGAGGGTTAGAATGATATGCTACTCTGTCATATCCAGCTTCAGAATCCCTCAAGAGTTATTTTTCAAAGTATTTTAAGATTTCCAAGCTAAGAAATATTTTTGGACCAGCATTTAAAAAAATGGTTAACTGTTTCATTGGGGTCAGTAAATATAAAATGCGTAATTTCAATCCTTGGTAATTTGATCCCAGATCAAGACCTCATGGGGTTGTAGGAGAGTCATCAACCCAACCTGACACCCTCCACAGGCTGATGGAGGGAGCGGAGGGTCATCTACAGTAGCAGTAGTTAGCACCTTCTGGGTGACGTGGCTGAGGCCACACAATGTCTCCCCTTGGAGTGAGTCTACTGGGGACAGAGAGCAGAGCCCTTGCTGCCTGCTGGAAATGCCCCATCAGAACACATTGCGGGTAATTCTTGGACACAGCTTTAATTCCTTTTTGGTCAGCAGTTGTGTTTGACTCACAATTTGTTACCAGTACGTAAGAATCACCTTCTTATTTAAACTCAGGAAAGGACAAAAAAATCAGAACCATATTGTAAGGCTTCTTTGTGGGTCTTTGTTTTTTCTAGGAAAACGTAATGGGCAGCTCTGAACCACTTCCCTGGAGAGCTCAGGCCATACTACCAAGAGCTCCTGCCTGTCCACAGAAGGAGCAAAGGTGGGCTTATCTTTTCTTGGGTAAGAGAGGACTGTGGAGTCAAATCTACACTTGCCCCAAACAGGGACCCGAGTACTCTCGTGGTCTCTGCGGCTGATCTAACGGGCACAGCAGTTGTGTGATGCCAACGTGAGCAGCCCCACACTGACTAGAAACACCTGCTTTGCTTTATTGATAAAGAAAAGTTTTCCTTTTTACTGAGCCTACCAGATTAGACTTAGGGGAGATTTGTCAGCGATGTGCTTAACTTTATTTATGTGAACAATGGTAAACATCAGTGAACACTTGGTTTATTGTATGATTATAATCAATTTTATATTAAAATTGGCCTAAAAGAAATTTATCGTCATGAGAAAAACATCAAACTCTCAGTTGAGGAACAGTTTACAAAATGCCTGACCAGTGTGCCTCAGAACTGTCCAGGAAAGTCTGAGAGACCATCACAACCAGGATGAGCTTAAGAAGGCATCGTAGCTAAACGTCATGTGGCATCCTGGATGGGGTCCTAGTAGCGAAAAGGGATACTGGGTAAAAACTAAGAAGCTACAAATAAAATATGGACTTTAGGTAATAATGGAATCAAATTGGCTCATCAGTTGTGACACATAAACCATACTAATATAAGATATTAATAATAAAGAAGCTGGGAGTGGGGCATAGGGGAACTCTCTGAAGTACCCTCACAACTTTAAGGAAAACCTAAAACTGTTCTAAAATAAAATTTTATTCAAAAATATCTATAAAGAAATGAATGTCTAAAAATGAAGACTTCCTTAATTTCACCTCTGAATTTTAGAATAGAGTAAAAGGTGACCGAGCGTGTTTGCTGAATGTCGACTACATGTCCGCGGTCTAAGAGCTTTACTACATGTGTTACCTCATTTAATGCTAACAAAGATCCTATTAGGTAAGTACAACTATTAGCCCATTTTTACAAATGGGGAAACTGAGGCATAACAAAGTTAAACAATTTGTCCAGCTCACAAAGCAGAATTTGGTTACAGAGCCTACATACTCTATTATGTCCCTAAACTGCACAGAGAGACGATCACAAATGATGAGAAAATCGTAAGTCAGTGGAAACTCCAGAACCATGAACCCTCAGACCCAAAATATGCTGGTAAGTGAGGCTGGGATATATGAGGACTGAGCAACTTCCCCACACTTTGTGTAGAGATGTGCCACTCATTTGTCATCCGATGATAACGTACATGTGAAGAATCATATCCCTTGAAGGATGATTAATTTATCTGACAAGTCTGAGATGATGACAAATGACTTGGAGGGAAAAGAACCAGTCAGCAGGCTGGACCCTGACAACAGCCCAGATCTGGCCCCTTTTAGACTTCATGTCACAGGCACCACCCCTTCTGCTTGCATCTTTGGGCTCTGCTCTTTCTCCGCCTCCCTCTGACTAAGCAACCCCATACACACTCTATCTCACCAACAGGAGCCTTGCAACTCCTCCAGGCTGACCCTCCCCAGCTTTCTCTCATGGATCCCAGAGCACATTCTGAAGCAATCTCCAACACGTGTGTTTTTAACCCCAGTCCCCAAGCTTGAGCACTTGCAGGAATGTGGGGTTTACTCTCCCCAAACGTAGCCCACACTTCGGTGCCCTAATGGTTGATACAAGAGACCCAAGACCAGCAGCAGAGCCTTCCCAAGGCTAGCAGGCCCCAGGTCCTCCACATCCTAATCAGTGGCACCAAATCCTATGAGTGATGTTGAGTCGCGTCCTCCCTCTTGATCTAATCTACCCAGCAGTAACTCTCGACGTCTTCACCTCTAATCCCCATCCCAACACATCCACCCTCTGCATCCTTGTTGCCAGCAGCCCAGCCCAAGCCACACTCCCCTCTTACTTGGAGCGGCAAGGACACCAAGCAGCACTCTTGGGACCCCAGAGTGATATTGGCATGTCATGACTCATTTGAAAATCACAATAACTCTCATATTTTAATCTCCATCTGCTTGTTTGTCTACTCTCAGCTATTTCCAAACTTCATGATGAAAAAGAGTATCATTTATTAACTTATTCAAACCCCCATATATCTTAAAATTCTATGATATGCATACCTTAAAAACACACGTAAAAGAATATATATATACGCATATGCATTTGCTTTTTATGTATTGATTTTAATTTATAGATTCCATGTAAGTATATTTTTAATTTATAGACATAGAGATTGATGCACATTTTTTATTTGTTGATCTCGTCAGATAACCCTCTCATGTCTTACCTTCTCCTCCTCTGGGCACTGAGTCCTGGAGGCAGCAAACCACTGTTATGCCCATAGATGCTGGCTGGCTACTGTCAGCAGCCTGTTCCGCCCTTGTAGGGATGGCTCTCCCTCCAAGTGTCTGAGTGTCATTGCCCCCCCGCCTTGGGGCAGGGTGTTCTGCCTGCCAAGGTGGGCTGTGTGGGACCTGCATGCGTTCCGGGGGCCCCAGGGCCTATGGGCTGAGAAGGGAGGGTTTCCCCTAACCCTTGGCCTCTGCTACCATACTCCCAAACCACTGGGTGAGGTAGTCAGAATGGCCATCACTCCTGACTTTGCACTTTCACACACAATGACTTCTCGGGGCTGCTTCCAAACACTTCCCAGAGCTCTTGCCCATTGGAACCTCCATCCCCAGGAACTGCTACCAGGGAGAAGGGCTGTCAAAAAAGGAGTCAGAGAGCTTCCAGGAGAACTGCCACAGAAGGAAGACACTGAGCTTGAATTTGGGGTGGAAGCCAAGGGGACCCACCACAAAGAGTCCCATGCTGTCTCCCAGGGCATGTCAGCCTTTATAACCCAAGGAGAGCATTTTGGTCTTCAGCATAATTCTCTGTTCTTCACCCAGGAAACCTTGTGTGGGGCTAACACAGAACCAGAGCCCAGGAATGATGCTAGGAAAATACATCATGGTGTGGGATGGAGGAGAGGACCCCACGGTTTTACTGTGTCTACAGCAAAATGATTACTGAGAATCCTGAAGCATTCACCTTCAGGTTGTAAGTGTCTCTGCCATTCACAAATCAGACGTCTTAATTAAAATGCTGTTAAAAGAAGCAAATCAATTAACAGATACCTTACAAGATGGTTTATTCTATCTTACACACAGAAAATTCCTTATGAGTATCATGTTACTGCTTTAGGTTATCAGCTAACAAAGCCTGCTAATGAACTACGTTATTATCAAGTCAGATAAAAGACGCCCTGGGAATCCAGGCAAATTATTATAACACAGCACTTTGTTTTGAAATATTGCTCTCTTTCATCACACACAAGGAGAGTAACCCAATCCGAGGAGAACCAGCCCACGCAACCACCTGGATTTCTGTTGAACTGGAAAGGCAAAGAGTATTCCATAATGCAGCCCCAGAACTACAGGGTTAATAGTATGGGGGAGAGAAATGTTAACGGGGCTTGTGCCACACAGCCTTACGTTAATGGCAATAATAAGAAGATGGGGGTTTCCTAAGCCTCTGCTAATCATGTCCTCCAGGCAAAAGCCATTCACATTTGTACTAATAACCACAAAATAATGCTATAAGCATAACAATAATCCCTTACATCTGTGTAGGTCCCTATAAAGTGCACCATTGGCTTTTTCATTTAATCCTTTGTTGGCTCCATCATTTGCAGAGCTGCAGGCCATTCCATGGCCATTGAGACCCCTTCCTCTCACTCCGGCCCAGCCCTCCATTTCTTCCCGTGGAAGGTCAGTCTTTCATTCGTGAGACCGGAGACTACTCCATGGTCTTCATGTCTCAAGGACCCTGAATATTCGCAGGGGGATTCTTATGGCAACGGAGAAGGTGAGGCCATCAATTCTAGAAAATGATGCTTACCTGTTGATAAACGGTGGTGCTAAGGAGGTTGTGCTCTGACGTTGGTCCCCATGGCCATGAGCCATTTGCTATGGGTAGGTTCCATTGATATGGACACAGTGTTATCATAGAATCATGAACAGCTCCATCATGGAGGACCAGGATAGACAGTGTGGGTTTATTGGTTTCCATCTTTTCTTACTGCTGGATAAAGTGCTCATGCCTCCCTCTATGCAGTCAGCTTCTCATGGAAGAGGACTGATATTTTCCTTCAGGACAGAAACACTGTAAACTCTATTCCATCTCTTACTTGCCCTGGGCATTGAGTTCCACATGAAGGTCCATCACCAGCTTTGGAAGCTCAAATTCATGACATCCCTGAGACTGAAACTGTCCAGACTGCCCAACCTCTCCTGAAGAGTCCACTCATTCAGAGCTCAATCACTTGTTCATCTCTGGAAAGGAAAAGAACCATCAGGAAGACGTATTGACAGAGTGATTATGCTCTCACTAATCATGGCATATGCTTATGCTGCCACACAATTAAGTAGGTATGAAGGAATTCATCAGCATATCTTAGCAAGGTGAGACATTTCCTTGTGCAACATAGAAAGTACGTGAAGACCAGTGGCTTCTAGATAAAAGGGGGAGTTTTTCAGATAGAGCTCAACTGAGCCGTTGTTTTCTGCCTGCCAAAACTCGAGCCACAAAACCTTACCCACTTTGGTGGCAGAAAGGGAAGAAGTCATTCCCCAAGTTTAAAAGGCATATCTGCAGGAAAATGCCACTTTATGTACTTGAAGAGATTGCACTGATCTGGTAAGATGCTACAAGGAACCGGGTAGACAGACCTGTGCAAATGTAACCAGAAACTGATACATTCAAGTCTGAACTTGTGCTGTTACAGAGCGTGAGACTTGTCCACACATAGTGTATCTATCTCTATCTCTATAACTACATAAAATTAGGATCACAGAAGAAAAGATGAGGTCACCAAACCAGACCCCAATATAGTAGAGCTCAGGCTGAAAAAGTAGGGCACAGACCCTGCTGTGGCCAATTTCAACTACAAGCCTCACCGATACCTCCATGCACAGAAACTGAATTCACACCAACACTTCACTGTAGTTTCTCATAACAGTCATAATTTTAACAGAATGGCATATTTATGTTTACATTGAATGTTGCATACTTGTTTATGCCATTCAATTGTGCATGCTGTCTCAATGTTTTGATATCTAACATGGGAGAAAGTACAACAATAGAAAGATGGGGCAGAGTGAAGCATCAATTTGATAAGCCAAAGCAAAGGCCATAAAAGAGACAGTAGCTACCTATCCCATGTGTGGAGGACCAGGGACACACATTGAGGTCAGGGTTACAGAGCTTGATGGCCACAAAGGCAACATGGAAGATAAGCAAGTTGAAAACAAGCAAGGATGGTGACAGAGAAGTCTAAAGGGATTCTAAGAGAGTCTAAAGGCTGTCAGATTTTTGTGCTTCTCCTTTAAAATATGGTAGGCCCAAAAATCAGAGTTTAAGTTGGATGGTCTTGAGGTCCAGGGGCTCAACAGAAATTTCACCCCTTCTATCATCTTTAACAAATTCTGAGTTCAAATGGCCCTTTCAGGTGTTGTTAAGAGGATCCAAAGTGGCTGGGCCGATGCAGCATTTGCTCTTGAAATACTCATGTCTATAGAAGATGGGAAAACCAAGAAGGCAGCCTCCTCCCACTCCTGATGGCCCTGAGCTGGGGAAGTAGCACCTGTGAGCTCCTCCAAGGAGGAAGTTGTTCTCTGACAAAGGAGTCATTCCTTTACATACAGGTGTTTCACCAGCCCCTAGACAGACGAGCACAATATACAAGAAAAGACAGGCAGGACAGACGCTGGAATATTAGCTGCTGGCTGGACTAGCAGGTGAATCAGGCTGCAGACCCAGGCTTGGGATTAAAAGAAAGAGAAAGAGACTTTTGGAGACTGTATCGGCACCGTTTCCACTATTATTTAATACTGGTGGTTTTAGCCAGTGCAATCACAGAGGAGAAAACAGAGGCATAAGAACTGGGAAAGGAGATCTACAATTTGGCAGATGACATAATATTATGAAAACTCAAGGAAATCCAAAAGAACACACATACAATTAAAGCATTCAGTAAGGCTGTCACAATAACGTTAACATACAAAAATAATCCATAAGCAATCAATGACCAAGTAGGAGACATAACGGGAAACTCCATTCATAAAAGCAACAAAAACATAAAAATATTTAAGAATAAACTTAAGAAGAAATGTGAAAAACCCATAAGGTAAAAGCTAAAAACTCTCTTCAGACACACAAACACAGACTTGCAAAAAAAATTCACCTTTCCAGGAAGGACTACTTAACATCATAAAGAAGTCAATCGTCTTGAGCCTCATACATGAACGTAATGCAACCCCAACAAAAATACAAAGGTGTTTGTTCCATGGGTAGATTCTGGAGTTGGTTCTGAAGTTCATATGGAAACACAAATGTGCAAAAAGAGCTATAAGAGAATAGCAAGAATGTGTCCCTGAATAGAGAGCACAGTGGGGGTGCGCCAGATAGCGGAGCGAACCATGAAGCATGCATGAATAAGACCATGGTACTAACACGTGAATACTCACAAATACCATGGAAAATAATATAAAGTCTAGGAATAGTCCAAGTACACACGGAAATTTAGAACACAATAAAGATTGCAAATAAAACTGGGGAAAATAATATTTTCAATAATGATACTGAAATAGATTGCCATTTGGGAAAAAGACAAAATTGGATCCATATGTCATCCTTCACACCACAATAAATATTAAATGGATCAGAGATCCAAATAAAAAACAAAGCCTTACAAGAACTAGAAAAAATATATATGTACGTATGTAAACATTTTTTAATTGTACAGAAATTATATATATAATTTTAATTAAATATATTTTTTAAAGGAATATGTGAAGATAAAGCAGAGACTCTTGAAAATAGTTACCCCCATGCAGTGGGTGGGGACAGATTAGAGCAGACAGGTGTGGGAGTGAGACTTCTCCGAGTTTGCCTGTCTACATATTTTTTATCTTTGAACCATATACATGTTTTATAATCTCAAGAAAATAGAATTAAAGTAAAAGAAATAAGAAAGGAAACATTAAAATAGCATACACATGGAAACAAACCCCATATCAAATTGATAGCATAACCACACAGAGAAAATAATTAGTTCAATTTGAATATCACACTCGATACACACAGAGGGCTAAATTCTAAGAAGAAAAAGAACTGCAAAGAAATCTTCAAGTTACTAAGCAAGTTTGTAGTTATAGAGTGTTGTGATTGTGGAAGTATGTGGGTAGTACTAGAGGATAGAGCAAAAGGGTAAAAATATTTATAGGGAACAGGGTTTCCACTTTGGAGGAAGCAAAACAGAAATACCGAGTGAGGAAAGCTTAAGTAGAGCCTTATGGTATTGAGTTTGTGATTTAAATACACATTTCCTGACCCTGTCCATTGAGAGGGCCTAGAAGGAATGATGTCTCAGAAGCCATGAGCACACATTGTGCCCACATCTTGGCTTCTAAAAGCTATTCTACATAAAAAAAGAAAAAAGAAAAACCAGGGATCTAAAGGATACTTGGGTGATTCCGGGTATGAGCAGGGATAGTAAAAGGTGAGCCGGGATACTGTGTGGTGTGGGAAAACAAAACAAAACAAAACAGACATCTAGGAAATGCTCAAAAGCTACCAAGAAGTGACTGGTACTGGACAAACTGGGGACAATTTGAGTATCACAAAGATCTGTGATGGCAATGAATTATATAATATGTTGAAGTCCACAGTAACGATATTCAAGTAAGAGAGAAAAGGGGGAAGGAAAAGGTCTTTTTATCCAGAAGAATACCAGCTATTAAATGTAGAAGGGATGCTAGCGTTAGAAACTCAGTGTGTTGTAACCCCCCAATGCAATAACTGAATCAAACATGCATCATGAACAGATGTAAAATCGTTGGGTGAAGAATCATTGGGGAGTCAGGATGTTCACGTGGTCTCAAACTATCACCCTTCAGATTACTGACTAATTACAAAGAGGAAAATTTGTCTCCCTGATACAGAGATCTAGCAGTCACTTCTTTATTCAAGTGATCAAAGGCAGGGACACCTGGGTGGCTCAGTTGGTTAAGCATCTGCTTTCGGCTCAGGTCACGATCTCAGGGTCCTGGAATCAAGCCCCGCCTCGGGCTCCTTGCTCAGTGGGGAGTCTGCTTCTCCCTCTGCCTGCCGCTCTCCCTGCTTGTGCTTGCTGTCTCCCTCACTCTCTCTCTCTCTCTCTGACAAATAAATAAAATTAAAAAAAAAAAAGCAATCAAAGGCAGCATCACCCACAGTGACAGAGCCTGGCGTCATGCGCTCCCTGACGCAGTACAGTATCAGACACACAGTGTCACCTCCGTGGTGTTCTTGACAAGTCTCAATCGGGATCTACTCAGGAGGAAACAATCAGACCAGTCCTGAAGACGGGACATCATACAAAAGTACTTCAAAATTGATAATGCCGCAGGGAAAGAAAGCAGAGAAGTTGTCCAACACAAAAAGAGACGAAACAAGAGACAAAAATCAAATACCATGGATCTGGGTTTGGAAGACTGAAGCTATAAAGATACTTTTGAAATAATCAGAGAGATTTGAATATGGGCTGTGAAAAAAATGACATTCCTGAAATACTGGTCATTTTCTTAGGTGTGGTCATCATATGGTGATTATGCAGGAGACACTTGGTTACATATTTAGGGGTGAAATATCTCTACTAACTTAGGGGTGATATTCCTACTAATTTTTAAGTAGATCAGAAAAAACTGATGTATACAGAATAAAGCAAATGGAGGGAAATATTAACTTGGGAATCTAGGTGAAGGATGTGTATGTTTTTCTTGCACTGTTCTTTCAACTCTTTGGTGGATTTGAAGAGTTTTCAAAAAGAAGGAAGGTGAGAGCACGTGGGCGATGCATGAGGCGCAGGCAGGTGGGCCTAGGGAACGTGACCTGTGACCAATCCCGCACGCTCAGACCTCGTCCACTGTGAGATCCAAAAGCAACAGGGGAAACAGACACTTCAGCCAAATCGATAGCTTGAGGACGCAAAGTTTTGGAATTTTTTTTTTTTTTTTGTAATCACGTGGACTAAGTTGGAGAGCTCATGGTTTGGTTGACCTTTAGGGAAAAATTTGACAAAAGAAGAAAGTTAACTATCCTTTTCTAAAATCCCATTTTCTCAGCTCTAATCAGGCAAAGGTCCCACGGCTTCATTTTAAATCTTCCTGAAGTACCACTAAATTAAGACTTTCTGGAGGGGAAAAAAAAAAATAAAGAAGAAGATGTGGACTCCTGGTGTCCCAGCCAAGGCACAGGGAGTCGTGGCTCGTGGCTAGCAATCCCCTCCCGTCCTGCGTGGGGGCCACCTGGGGAGAGCCGCCGCCTTTCCCCCTTTCAGAACCAGTGATCACTCTCACAACTCACCTTTTGGAGAAATTGAGGTTTGACCTGCAAAACAGGAGAATCGGATGTTCATTAAAACATCCTTGCGTGACAAAAAGCACATGCAAAGTTTTGCCTCAGGAGAATGGCTCGCCTGTCCTTAGATTTTCCTTTCTCGGGTCTAACTTCTTCCTGACTCAGCCTGACTCCATCTAGTGTTACTTTTGGAAACTTGAAGTGTGCCTCCCTTCTCTTCAACAATCCCTGTTTGCGGAGGAGCTCTGGTGTGATCTGTGCCAAGAACAGCTCCCGCACGTGCTGGGGGCGCTAAATGCCGGGGGTGGGGGGTGGGAGGGCTCCCACCCCGCCGCCCGCCATGACCCTGCCCTGCATCTCTCCCTTCCCTCCCTCCAGCCACCTGCTTTCCTCCTGCTCCCTGCCCGTGTTCCCTTTCTGGGACTTCACTTTCACCATGGTTGTCTGTGAGTGACCCACGCAACCACCCCATCCGGATGGACGATGGAAATTGCCTCCTCTGGTTCTGATGTTTTAAAAGAATTCAGAACTTCCAAACGCACACAAAATCGGGACACGTTCTGACATGCTTATACATGGGAACATAAATCCACAGCGACTGTTGCTTCAACAATGCTTTTAAAGTGGTCGGTTGTACTGCACACAGCGGCACCTCCACATGCGCACGCGCACACACACACGCACACGTGTGTGTGTCTGTCACTTGCTACAAACTATCACAGCTTCTCCATTCCCCCCATCCCCCAAAACACATGCACAGGATTGGAAATTAGGATTTGGGAACTCTTCCTTTTTTTTGAATTCCATGACTAAGATAGCCCTGACACAGTGTCTGCAGAGACTTCTGGGAGCCACTGGAGTTTCCAAGGCAAAGTACCCTAACTCCAAGTGCGCTTCCATGTGTGGGGGTGGTTTGGCCAAGGTAGCACGCCCAGCCCACACCCAGGTGGTGAGATCACTATGACCACTGATTGGTGACAGAGGGCCACAGCCTGCCACAAAAGTCTGTAGCCACGGGCGCAGGGTGCCTCCGCCACCCAGCAGAGGGCCCCGGAGGCCGTGCGGTGGGTAGTCTTCACCATCGCAGACATCCCCCATCTACGCAGAACTGACTCCCATCTTGTACTCCCCACCACAGAGACCAGCTGGACCCCCAAAAGGCAGTGCAGGCTCTAGGTCTGGGTTTCATCTATTCATTTCCAGGTCCCCTCTTCCTGCTCATCAGGAGTTAATCCTTCTCATCCTACCAGACTCAGACCATGGCCTCCCATAGCTCCCTCTGTCCAAAGCCCTGTTTGAACCCCTGATGAAGGTCAGGCTGCCTTGATTCTATAGTGGGAGAGTCTGAGTCAGCACCCAGTCCTTCTTGAGCAACCCCTCTACATGGAGGTTTCCAGAAGCATCAGGTTCACTGTGTTTAAAAAAGGAGTCCCCATCTCAGCCCCCAAGTCCATTGCCCAAGCCTGCTCCACCACCTACTTCCCAAGGGCACCGCCCCCCTGGGGCCTCTCCACCCCCACAAACGCTGTACTGTTCTGGATTCTTCTGTCTTGGTGGCTGCACATTCGCTCAGCACCCACTGCCTCAGTATCGCTCCGATCCTTGCCCAGCAGGGCTTTGCAGCAGATCTGAAGCCCTCAAAGGGCTTCCCAGCAGGTGTCCCTGTCCCCAGCGCCCTCCCCGCCCCCCCCATTCTACTACAGCGGAAATGCTATTCCATCCCTCTCCTGCCTAGAATCCATCAGGGATTGAGCAGAAGTTTCAGGAAAGGGTGCAGACTCCTTCACTTACCATGTAAGACCTTGAGTGAAACCACCACTCTCTCCAACCTTTTCTCTGCAGATCTTCGTGTGAAGCATTGGCTCCTGTCACACAGAACACTTGTTCCCTGGGTGTACACACTGACACACCTCGGCGTGCCTTCTGCCTGTGTGTACTTCTCTTGCTTCCCCCAGGGAAACTTCTTCTCATCCCTCCGTATGCAATCCCAGTGCTGCCTGCACCCCTAGACGTCCTGCTTCCCAGCTGGACCCCTCTGCATCCCCCAGGCACAAGGCAACGCATGCTTAGCTGTGTCACAGCAGCCCCCTGGCCCCAAAACCCTGCAACGAGCACCCAGAATGTGCCTGTGTCCCCTGCAGACGGAAAGGGAGCCTGTCTTCCCTTATTCCTCAGCACCTAGCCCATGCCTGAACGCCCATTCATTCATTCATTCAACACATACACAAGTACCCACTCTGTTCCAGGCACGGTGCTAAATGCTAGCGCTACAAAGAGGAAGAGAAAGACCCCACCCTCAAGGACCTTACACTTCAGGGGGAAAATCATCAAAAGAAATAGACGAAGAAATATATCACATAATGTTAGTGAAAGGAAAGTAATATGAAGAAAAATAAAGCTAGGTGAGGGAAAGATAATGATCAGGGGAAAGGGTTTCTATTTTAAACAGGCCATCCAAAATGAAATGGTGGCCTTGAAGCAGAGATACGAAGGAAATGAATGGGGAAAGTTTACAGCTATCTGGGAGAAGAGCATTCCATGTAATAGAAAACAGCAAGTGCAAAGGTCCTGAGGCAGGACTGTCCTCAGAGGACATAGTCTCTGTGAAGAAGAGCAGTGTGGCTCATGGCAGCAGGGAAGCCAAGTAACCTGGAGCAGGCCATATGGGTTTCCCAAGTAGGTCATGGCAAGGGCTAGGGACCTCATTCTGAGTTCTGGGGGGAATGTACTAAGGGGTTCTGTGTGGGAGGTGGGGCAGAATGTAACAGGGTATGCAGAGGCAAGCTCAAGCCCCGTTTGGCTACTGTACCTTGTGGCCCCCCATTCTCATGACTTTTGCCCACTGAAGCAAAGAAGGGAAGAGGGGGCATGGGGTGCATTCTAGTCTCCTAGGAAGCATTTTGGAGTGGAGAGAAGAGCTAGGATGACAGGCAAAGAAGCACAATGAATAAAACAGGAGGGAAAATGATACCCCGCACTTACCACAATAGTGACCTTACCTTGGGACTCTCTTCTTTAGTGTGATGGTGTCTAAAGAGAGAAAACAGGGCATTAGGAGGGGGACACTGTGATCGGTGGCATGGCTCACTCAGTGTCAGGCAAGCAGGAGTGAGGCAGAGCCAACCTGACTCGGGCAGCTCTGAAGGGCTCCCTGGGTTGGGGCCACTGGGGGTGGTGGTCTTGGGCTGAGTACTCTTCATCCTTCTCCTTTGGCTCTGTTGGAGCTTCTCTATCCAGGTCGCATCACTGAGCCCCCCTTAGCTGGGCACTTAACTGAACCTTCCGTGGAGCCTTGCTACCCCCATCACTCCTCATCATCCCCCTTCGCTTGCGGAGGGGTCCGCTCCTGGACCCTCTTGGTCTAAAGGGATCTAGCACATCTCCCACTATGTGAAGAAGAGGCTGTTTCTTCTCCCTTCCTAATCATAGGGATACAAAAATAATGGCAAGTAAACACCTATGACCAGTTAAACCCCTTGTGCAGTCGAGCATGCTGGCATCCCAGGAAGCCCTGGAGGGCTGTGGTTCCGCCCCCTGGCCCAGACTCCCCCTTCTGCATATCTTCGCGGATAATAATCACATTTTCCAGAGGCACAGTGAGGCTCCTTCCTCCTCATCCTCTGGAAAATGTCCTGGAAAACTGCATGATGATTCCATTAAGCAGGCTGAAAGGATTGGGAATGATTTTTGCAAGTGCCATCTTGAGAGAAAGGGGATGCGAATCAGTGTTGTATTTTGCTATCAAAACTCAAAAACTGACTGCTGGGTCTGTGGGTTGAGCTTCCCAGCAGGTGCCACAAGGACACTGAGAACCACGCCAGGGTTCACACCAGCCCAGCCCTGTTTGGACCAAGAGGACACAGCACGGCTCCAAGTAGGACCTGCCCAGTTTATGAAAAACAAAACAAAAAAAACTCAGCAGCACGTCCGCCACCCTCCCAGCCTCATCATCTCCTGGGATCCACTTTATCTGGTCACATTTTTGGATACGGAAGTAGACATTTCTGTCCGAAGCCTGCTCACCTCCATTCCCCCCACCCTTCTCCAAGAAATCTGATTCTTAGAAATGGAAAAGTACAGAGAGAGAGAGAAGTGGGGAGGGGGAGAGAGGGACAGAGACACAGAGAGGTCACTGCGTTTCTTTTCAACCCAGTCTGTCAGTCTTTCTCTAGCCACGTTCTGGAGGGGCTCTCAGGGCCTCAAGCTGCCGGGGCCGATCCTGGTCTGGGCGGGGCAGATCCAGGCCGGAGGTCGCTGCTCCCTTACCGTTGAAGCCTGGGTTTGTGCTTCTCAAGTCCGAGGAGTAGATATCAAACAAATGTTTCCTGATCATGCAGATCTTCAGGACCAGGAAGACAGCTGATATGACGACGCCCAGAGCCGTCCCGATGATGGCGTACTTGATGTCTGCAGGGCAGGGAGGAATTGACCAATGGGTATCCATCAGGCACCACCCTGCAAAGGTCTTTCTTCTACAGCTCCCTTCACATTCGGGGTGAAGTCCAAAGTCACCCGAAAACTCCACATGCCAATTGGCTGAAGCCCAGGGCCACATCCGCCCCCCCCGCCCCTTACCTACCCCCCCATCGCCTCCTCCTGGAACCCCATCCTGCTCTCTTCAGCCATGGGAGTCATTCCCCAGTGGCTGATGGCTCCCTCCTCCGGCTTCCCCCAGCCCTACCTCACTTGCCTTGCGTTAATTCATTTATCGAGCACGTGTTAATTGGCTGCCTGCTCTGTGGTGAGCATGGAAGGCAAAGGAAAAGATATGACTCCGTCTTGAGGGGCCTGCAGTCAGCGGGGGCTGATGGGAGCTCGCCCTAACGCCAGGGTAACAGGCTGGTCTGGGCTGGCGTGGAAGCCGAGAGCTTTCCCGGAGGAAGAGGGGTGAAGATTCTAGATCACAGTCTGCAGACCGCACTGTGCCTGCTGAGGGGAGCCCCTGAGGTGGAGAGGAGCTAGGACCGTGCAGGTAGAGGGAGGAGGGGGAGGCATGGCAGTATGCAGGGCGCTGTGGGGACAGATGTGGAAGTGAGTGCAGCCCCTGTTCTGTGATGACTGGCAGGAAACCAGCCACACTCCCAGCACACCCCACCCCTGCCCCTTCTGCCCCTTCAGCCCTGCACAAAGAGGAAGCTGGGCAGCCACCTACCGATTTCCGCCCCAGCAGACTTGCCCGTTGCTAACACTGGAGCTCCTCCAACATCTGCAAAGAAAGAAAACCCAGAGTCTGGTTAGAACCAAGCTGGTGGCCGTGTTCAGACCAGGGGTCGAGGGCCAAAGCCCTATCCCCAACCCCTGTGTCCCACCGGTCCGGGAAGCCGTGGCACAGGTACCTCTGCTGCTTTGCATCTGGCCTCAGGAACACAGAGGCGGGCTCCTGGTTGCCATGGAGCGTCCCGGAGCCTGGCAGGGACGTCAGCGCCCTCCTCCCACCCCATGCCGGGAGCGCGGTTCCATCGAGCTCCGTTCAGCCGGCTCTTTCACATGGCGTCCCAGACCCACACTCTGACCCCTGCCTGCTTCTTTAGCCCCTTCACGAAGCCTCTCATCCCAGCCAGACCGCACTGCTTCTAGTTCCCCACCCAGGCTGGGGGCTCTGCTGCCTCTGGGCCCTTCCCTCTGCCCGGCCCCATCTTCTCGCCTCTCCTCCTTCCCCTCATCTCGGTTCCCATGTTGCTTCCTCCTGAGCCCCCACGCCTGGCTCAGCTGTGTGCTCCACGGGGGCTGTTCTCAGCCACCATAAATGACCCCACCGTTTATTCAACGATGTTACAGAGCACTGCTGTGTGCCGGGCACCCTCCGTCCTAAGAGCTTCTCAGCTATGAATCCACTGGCTGCACCTTCTCGCCACTAACCCCTCTGTGCTGTCCGTGCCTTGTGGAATGTTCTACCCCAGCATTTGACACAGCATCTGGCACGAAGGAGGCATTAACGACGTTTGCTGAATGAACGGTGGTGATAGATCACACTGTAGAGATGCCTCATGCTTCCGGCCAGAGCTTGAGAGCTTCCATCAGGAGACGGGGCTCAGGCTGGGGCCACGGTCCCTGCAGACCAGCCCTCAAAGACCCACGGCAGAGCTGTAGGCCTTGCAGGGGAAGGCGTCCAGTAATTGGCCACTTATTTCGAGGCGATACCGATGTGGCACTTGCAGGAATGCACTTAGTACTCGCAGCAACAGCGCTGGGAGCTAGGTGTGATTATCTCTGTGTGATGAATGAGGAACCAGAGGCACTGAAGACTCGATAATGGGCCCAAAGGCCAAGGGAAGTGGAAGGTGGCAGGGCCAGGGTCTGAGCCATGACACTTACACAGGGATGACACCCTGCAAACTTGAATCCCAGGGAGCTAACGGAATGATGCCACAAACCACAAGGTCAAGGGCCGGAGGGGCTTGGGCTGGGGTGGGCGGATGATGAGACCCAAGCCTGGTTCTAGGTACAAGCTTCCAGGCAAAGGCAGAAGCAGGAAGTGCCACGACCCCTGCTTCTCAAAGGAAGCAGGTGACTTCATTGGGAGAGGCTGAATCTTCCCCAGCTTAGCTCCAAGAGAAGTTCACCTCCCAATTCCCTACTTATCGGAGCTTGAATGATGGCTGAGGGCCATGTCTGCTGACTACAGACAATGCTGCCTGGGGTGACATGTTGGGTCAACACTCCACAGAGGACATCTTGCTCTGCATGTGTTTGATGGGGAAGGGATCATCATAATGGAGTTTGGGATTTTTCTGGTGGCTTCATTTAGTCAATGGATAAAGCTGGGGAGTTATGCAGCAAAAGCATACAACCTTGTTCTAATCACAAGTCCTCTTAGAAATTCAATGATTTCTGTCTTTCTATCCACTCAGACAGACACCCCCACATACAATATGACCTTGGTCTTGTGGGTTCCCCCAAGCCCCTGCTGAGCTCCACTGTTTCTTTACATTCTTTACATTAAACCTGCTGCTCCAGCTAGGTTGAAAACCACTCCAGGGATGGGACAAAATCTTCTGTTTTGCACATGGTTGGGCTGGGCTGTTATGAGTAGCTGGGCTAGGAGCTGACTTCCAGACTGATGCCCAAAATTCAGAGCTGCATATGCCCCGTGCTCACCCTGGCTCCTTTCCTGACACCAGCCTGACCCCTCTCTGCCATTACTGGGCAGCAGGCTGGGGACAGGGCAGGGCAGAGCATCAGCAAGTGGGGCCAGGCACACAGACGGAGTCTCTCCCCTGACCCCTTCATACACAAACATCTTTCCTGTGTCTTCTGCTGGTGACCATCACTCTCCATGTGATGCATTGTGATGCATGCCGTGTAAAAACTTTATATGGGCCCGAAATGAAACTTAAATGGAGAAAGAAGAAAGAACACAGGTCAGGAAAAGCGAGATGGAAAATGTCAGAGAGCCAGAGAGAAAGAAACACAAAGAGATTTGGTCACATGGGGACGAATGGAGGCTGGGCCATAGGAGCTCAGACCTCTGGCAGCAGGGCTGAGAAGGAAAGAGGAGAAAGAACATTGTCAAAAACCTGCCAGGTCCTGCCCTCCCTGACAGCACCGGGCCCCAGAGCTCAGCAGGCAGCCCAGCCTCTTTCATCTGCCCGGCCTACCAGTGACATTGTCCTCAACGCTTGGCTCTTTCTGCGCCCCTGGCAGGAACTCCATGGCTGGGGTTCAGCTCAGCCCTCGCTCCTCACCCTAGCCCGCACTGAGACACCACTCTCCACTTTCCATTTTGTATTGGCCCCAAGCCCTGAGGCGGCCCCTAGTCCCTGGCCCCAAACAGGCTCTCAGGGCTTCAGGCTCCCCTACCACGTCCGAGGTCAGGGTCTGAGTGAGTGCCCTTCCAGCTGCAGGCAGACAAAACGGGGCGGTGGACACATCGGTCCCAGTAATTCCTGCTAGCCAGCCAGATGGCCACTCGGCGGCAGCCTTTCCCCTCCTTGGGGAGGGAACTCCCTCCTTGCAGCCTTCCCCCTGCACTCTGCATCTCTGCCCTGCGCTCTAACAAGGCCCCGGGTAAGGATCCATCATAAGCACACTAGCCCAGCCAACCCTACCCCCGCCTCCTGCCAGGGTCTTGAACAGGAGGAGTCCCTCCTGGGCCATAGACCCCCTGCGAGGCCCCAGTGCTCATTTCCTCTGGTTCTGCAAACTAGCTGGAGGATGGATGGCCCAGCAGCACAGCCAGAGGCCTCCAGCACGCTCCTGCCTTCAGATCTGTGAGAGCCCCAGGAGCAAGTCGCAGGGCACGTTCTTTGCTGGAATTCTCTGGGTTCTCTTTGCAAACAGGAGGAGGAAGCTTAGCGTCCAGAGGACAGACTCTCCAACCCAGGGGAGAGTCCAGGGGGACCGGGCAGAGGCTGGCTGTATCAAGGCTGGTCTCTCTGGGGGGCAGGCAGGGACTGTGCTGATTTGTTCATCAGGCAGTACCAGGCACAGTGCTGGCCAGCTCCAACTTGGCTGTCGGCACTCCTCAGGCTGCCCACCCCGAACCAGGCACTGGGGACAGGAGCAGAGGCCCCAGAGGCCAGCCCTCCTGCTACCTAGCGTGGAGAGCTGCCTCTAGATGGGTCTCCACCCTCAAGTCTCCCCCTTGTGCCCAGGAGCTCCCACCAAGTCACACACCTGCGGCTACACCTGCAGAGGGATGGTGCCTTTCCCTCAGGTGCACAGAGGCACTTATGGCTCTGAGTCTAGAGTCCCTTCTTCCTCTTCGTGCCCCCTTTGAACATGCTGCTGCCCAAGGATGCTATTCCACCCCTCCCTGCCGAAATAGCCAGTCTCCAGCCCTCCTTCTGCAGCCCCTCCCACCCCAGTCACGTAGAACACCGCCTGCTTCTGCGAGTGATTTCCAAACAGGAAGGAGCCTCCTGCAAGAGTAAATGGTCCTGAGGCCTTGAGGCTTGCTGGGCCCCCTCGCCTGAGACACGAGAGGACAACCTTCAGGGGAAGGCTGCAATAGGGTTGCTCTCTGAGACGGAGCTGAGGGTGCAATGTGGCCTTGCCCCATCTCAGTTGGAATCTAACCCACCGAGAGCCCATCCCTGATGTCCAGACCTCCTGGGCTGTCCATGACACCTGTTGGGCCCACCCTCAATGGGGGCTGGAACTCTTCACCACCCTTATTTAGGCAGAATCCGGCTATGCGGTTCCATTTGTGGGGTAGTGGGCATGTGACCACTCAAATGTCGTTCTATAAGTGTCTGAACTAAAAATAAGGAGAAGACGCCCTAAGTGTTTGTCACCTGATGCTTGGTCATTTTCATCTTGGAACTTAAATATTGCAGAATGGCTCCTAACTTTAGATCTCATGGATTCTAATGTTTCCAGCCAGAGGAAGGGGCTTCAAGTGTCTAGACAGGCATCCACCCTCTCCTAATGCTGTCAGGAAGTGCCTGCCGTGTGCTCTGGATAGGGCATCCGAGAGCAGCCCAAGACCCCTGTCCTGGATAAAGGAGCTCATGGAGTGACAAGGGAGACAGAAAGAAAAATCAGAGTGTCATGGGCGATGTCCAGCACCTTCCTGCAAACCTCCGTCTCCACCAGGTAGAGGAAGTCTGAATGGGGACACGTACGATGGACGCTTGCTGTGTGGCCTGCACGCCTCCCCTGGCCCCTTGGCTGCCAGCAGTCCCCCCTGGCTTTCCTTTGGGGAACCACCTCCATAGGATTCCCCCAGGGCTGGCTCCAGGACGAATACATGAATACCTGATTGATTAACATATTCCAGCTTCCAGTCAGCAGTGATTGGTTGAGGGGTGGGGCAGATGATCCAATTCAGGCCAGTAAGACTCAACTCAGGGACCTTGAGGGAAATATGGAGAAACAGGAGTGTCTTTTGGAATTGGTAACAGTGGGGCTGAGGGAGGCCCACTGGATGGAGAGAACCTGCTGGGACTGAAGCCGCCACAGAAGAGGGTCAAGCTGAGACCAAGTCTTAAAGATAGATTTTGAGTACCTGAATCCAGCTGTGCCTGAAACACCTCTTCTTGACTGACCAGTCACCTTAGTAAGGAAACACTTTCTTTAGCTTAATCTGATCTGAACTAAGTCACTGTCATCCGCAATCAGAAGAGTCCTGATGACTTGGGTGGCAGGTCCTTCATAAAGCAACACCGGAAATCAGGTTGGCAAAGTGGGGAGGGAAGCAGAGAATGCTGGCTGGAACCAAGCCACTCACAATACAGCCTCTCATAAATCCAGCGAGGATCCACA